CTAAAGCGTGAGAGGCATACGACATTGCTTCTGACGCATGCGCTTAACGGCTGTAATTCGCCTCGATCCCCGTGAAAGCTGACCAAAATTAAGCACAGGTACGGTAAAATAAATTTCGAATTTAATTTCACATCAGACTGATTCTGACGACGAGTCGAAGAGAAACGATAGCTCGCAACCGTTCATATGTCGATGTCCCATACATAACCAGGATATGCTACATGCTCATTTTCAGAAACCCTATGATGCACAGCAGATCTCTGACGTTTAGCTTCACGCGTATCTTCCGAAATATTGGCACTAGTTTGCCTACGTCAGAAGGATGAAACACGAGCTGTTCTACCGAGATTCAATAAGACGATCCACTGACTGCCAGTTCGACGCTCTATCGACAGAACTGAGGTACTAGGCTAGATGAGGAGCAGAGTATAACTCGAAATGTGGGCTGATCGTCTAGTGAACCAAATAAGCAGGTAGGCTGGCAAAATTACTTAGCGCTAACAAATTACTCGTTGAGGGTACAAAGGAATTGCCACGCAACAAAGCTACTTTCAAAATAAAATATTTTGTTCGTGAGCTATTAGTGATATCGAAATTACAATATACAGAAAACTATATACAACGCAGTATACTCAATCGATATCGACAGTGAGAGACCAATGTCGATATTTCGATCGTATCCGACAAGCCTTCTTCAAGCTAAGAGTGGCGGTGGTTTTCGGTTGCCATAGAAGAGGCCTCATCGCTGAAGCCTGAAAACGAATTAGCTACAACAGAAGACCTCAACAGCAACGCCTTTCTCGCGTACGAATCGTCCGCTGGCCGCAAGCGTACAACAGAAAACATGGAGACGCATGGCTACGGTAGACCTGAGTGCGACAAGGAACAAGGAATATGACCTTGCCGAAGCACTGAACGTTGCCTAGTTTTAATCTGAGATGGCATTTCTAAACGTGTTCTGGATTACACTGTTATTCAAACTGACTCAGATTTAGGTGACAAGGGAAAAACGATAGCAACTTCAACAGCAAAGTAAAACTGACATCATTTTTACATCGAAGAAGGTTGATAAGATAACAACTAAAATATGGGTATTAATCGATCACCAAACAGACCTCGTGCACTACGTACACCACCTCTGAGCTGCTTTTGAGTACATTCTAAAGTAGCAAACTGAGTAAGTAATTGAGTTATTTCGGTTGAAGAAAGTGACCTCGCGAAACGACCGCACAACTGGCCAATAAAGCAACGCTGACGCCGAGTACAAAATAAGAAAGAAGGAGTGAACGTGCATGGCCGAGTCAAGACGAGAGTCATCGAACAATCGGTAAGGGTTTACTTTCTCGCGGCAAAACCGTTGTACTTTGTCGTATTCGCACAGTCTCGCTGCTGAAGCTGCAGGTCTTAAACGAAAATATTGCCAACTTCATTGTCACTCCGCTGGAAAAACTTTCTGGCCTCAATAAATCCCCGTTATAAGATCAAAGCTTGAAACCGGCCTAAGAACTTGCTTGTTCTGCCACGGGTTGGGACTTCGCGACCGCCGAAAACGGTTGAGGCCTACGTTGTTCCCGCATTACCAATTTAGCCAAACGTAACGCTCCAGCGATCTCTGACGGTAACAGAAGTCACCACTTCGCGGCGAATGACGCGATGAGTGCATAACGAAGTTGCAAAGCGCAAGCGATGAAAGTCCAACGAGCAGCGGCTGGGGACACGCGACCCTCCGGTAGCAGAACGTTCAGCGGATGGTTCTAAACAGCGAGGCGTACATTGTTTAAACAGCACGTGACTTTTACAGCACCCTTGCGTCGAACTCAGCCGCAAACGCCAGA